TCACTGTTCACTATCATGGGAAACTTGAGTTCTTCACCTCTTCCTGTTTCAGTTTACTTATTGTGGTTTTTGCTTATCTGTCTGCCATGAATGTCAGGAGGTTTAATTAGTTTTGGTCTGCAAAACACCCTGAGTTCCCCTGCAAATGCTGTATATGCAATCACAGTAGGATCCCTGCAAGATAATTTTCTTGGCATCCCCAGAGGATCCAGCACAAGCAGGCAGAGGACAGCTCCAAAGACAAGGTACTCGAAGCACAAAATTCCGCAATCTCCATCTGTAGCTCGAGAATCAAAAGTTTCAGGGGCAGTATTTTGGTGCAACATACAACAGAACTGCTGTGGGAGTTACAGAAAAGCGCTGGCAAAAACATTATCAACAGCATCTTACAGTATAAATAAGGCAAGTAAAAAAACCGTCAACACAACAAAAAACCTTAAAATGGAAATATTAGGGGAAAAATTGAAATCAACAATACTAACAAAAGCACCATGTGGGTTTCTTAAATATCCCAAACAGCTTAAAGTTGCCCAGATTCCTGCATTCGTTAACTGTTCAGGACACAGATTTATTTATTTATGGCTCAGTAAAGAATTCCCAGCTCAGAAGCTTTCCAAAGAACAACCTTCCCCAGTTCTGCATGGGCACCTCAGCCAACTTACCTTGCCATTTCTTATTCTGATGCTAATGCAGTTCAAACAACTCAACCACGCATTTTTTATCTATGCAATAAGCCTATCTTTAGGTCACTTAGTTGTGTCAGTTTAAATCACAATATTCTCACAGAGAAAAATCTTTTTTTTTGCTTCTGGGGACAGAGAAGGCAGAAGAAAAAAAACTTAAGATAAAACCACTATTTTTCGTTTGTGGTGCCTAATGCAACCCCCTCTAAAACCTGTGTGAATTTAAACAGCAGTTGAACCACAACAAACAACAAATTTTAATTAAGATTTGCAGTTACCTTCAAGACAAGGTACCCTGAGAAAACCTGACCGTACACAGGCCTATCATATAATCATTTAATATTATTAGGTCTTATCCAAAGTCTGGTGGAATAAAGGCCAAGATTCTATTGATCTCTGTGGGTTCCAGTTCTCTCTCCTTTGTAAAATAAGCCTGGATTCTGCTACTCCAGTTTTCACAAGCATCCACACAGGAATAGTCACAAGGTTTCTCACAAGAGGGAAAAACCGTGAAGTTGAAGCCAGCCATAAAAGGTACTGGATTTATTCCAGGTGTGGAACTGTTTTTAATTAATTTGGAAGCATTTGAAGTATTCCCTCATTAAATATGCTTTGCATTTTACACATGCACATAAGAGAATAAGAAAACCCAAAACTGAGGCCAAAATCATAATGTCTTATTAAAAAGACTCTAACACCACTTTTAGCAAAATTAGGCTCACATGAAGACAAGATTTACAGCACCGCCATAACACCCCAATATCCAAAGCATGCAGTTCCTGCACTGGCCATCCATCCGTAAGCAACCTCACCTTGATAGGAGAGCTCCCACTGGTTGGGAGCACCCCTACCCCCATTCCACCCTGCACCTCCCCACACAGGACACTTCCCACTGTGCCCATCACACAGAGCAATCCTTGAAGTTCAAGATACCAGTTCTTGTCGCAGCATATGCCACAGAACGTGCCACAGTTGAGAGGGCCACTCGAACAGAGTATCACCACACAATAGCAGAAGGTTTCAGCCCATAGAGAGTAACACCATACCTCATCAGAAGGCTTCAAGCATCTCCTCATACCGAGTAACATGAGAAGACTGCAAGCATCTGCCCTTCTTGATCTTTAGCCCAACCTTTTATACCCCTGATTGTTTATTCATTGCATCTGTGTGCCCTCTGTTCCCTGTGTGATTGCTCAGTGCCCACCTGGGCACTCCCTGGCTCACTACCTCCAATGCTGCTCACCTGCTTTTCACAGCTGTAGCCCACTGGGGATGAGGCTCGGCTGCAGCCCCACTCCCAATTACCACAGACTGCATGCCTACAAGTTCTCTGCAGAAGGATGAAACAACTTATGGTAAATCTATGTACCAAATCATCATTACTGGTAAAAAACATAGGGTATCCTGAGTTGGAAGGGACCCAGAAGGATCACTGAAGTTCAGCTCCTGGCCCTGCACAGGACAGCTCCCCAAGAACAGGACCACATGCCTGAGAGTGCTGTCCAAATGCTCCGTGAACTCTGCCAGCCTCAGTGCTGTGACCATGTCCCTGGGGAGCCTGTTCCAGTGCCCAAGCACCCTCTGGGTGAAGAACCTTTTCCTGATATCCAGCCTAAACTCTGCCCAACACAGCCTCATGCCATTCTCTTGTTTCCTGTCACCAGTCACCAGAGAGGAGGGACCAGTGCTTGCGCCTGTGCTTCCTCTCACGAGGATGCTGAGGAGCACAATGAGCTTTCCCCTCAGTCTCCTCTTCTGCAGGCTGGAGCCCGGCGAGAGGGAGGCTGTGCACAGAGGCAGGTCCACAGGCAGAAACTCCAGCACAGACGAAGCCTGGGCACGTTTCTGCTCTGTCTAAACCTGTCTCAGGACAGCACTCACCGCAGCAGCGGGATGCTCCTTGAGAAAAGCACCTGCATCAGCCCACACCATGCCTCAGCGAGCACGGCTGGATGTTGGCGGCACCCAGGGGATGCCGGCTCGGCGCACACCCACCGCGGACAAGCGGCTCCCGGGGCTCCCCCGGCGGTGCCAGGCACCGGGATAAGCGGCTCTCGGCTCCCCTCTAGCGGCTGAGGCGCCGCCGCTGCCCGCGGCCACGGGCGGCACGGAGCGGTGTCCCGTGTGGCACCGCCACCGCCGGCTGCGCCCCGTGCCACGGCCGGAGAGCAGCAGCGCTGGCAGGGAGAACGCACACAGCACGGCCGGACAGCAGCACCGCTGGCAGGGAGAACGCACATAGCACGGCACCAGCGCCGCGCTCCGGCTCCCACGGAAGCCCAAGACTTCCAGTTTTGAGAGGAGGTGAGCCAAACTGCTATATACAGTAGGAAGAGCCACAACTAAGTTCAGGAGAGTTGTATTTTTAATTGTCTCTCTTAGGCATCCAAAAGAATCATGCATTTGGTGACAACAAAACTCACAAACTTTTCCTGCCCTAAGACTAAGTTTTATATCAGACAACAATGGTTTTGTCTCCAAGGGTCAAATTTAATTCTAGTGATCACCAAGCAGGTCAGTTTCTCAGGGATCACAATTCCTACCAAACTGTGTATGATGTTCTGTTCACAACCAGCACAGAAACATTAACTTCACACTTCTTCACAAGTCTTTTTTTTTTTTCCTTAAAAAAAAACCAAGCAGGAACATTCCAGTTTCTTTCCTTTGGATGCCAGTGCTAAAATATGCTAACAGCATTAAGGCAAGGGACGACTTGAAGAGCTCACAATCTGTATTCAGCATAATTAGCAGATGCCAATTTAACTTATTACTGCTTCTTATACTGCTTTCTATGTTATAAAAAGGGTATAAATGAAAACCTGTTATCTAAATGACTGTTTTCTCAGTGCTGATATAATGCAACAATAATGGGAAAATAAGAGTCACAAAGCATGTGTTAGGAAATACCTGATTTTGAAATAACATTTATAAACAGCCACAGTACAGAAAGAAATGAATGCCTGCAGACAGGACTTTTCTCTCTTCCTTCACACTTTGTATTTTTAGACTGTTCTCAAAGTAATTACATATTTGGTGGCATTCCTGGTTATTCAAATAAGCAATGCAACATTCCTGGTAAAGCAACACCACTAAATCAGGTTGCTCAACTGTCTCAGCCACTTAGGATTGCAAAGCATGAGAAATGAGCACGCGTAAGATGCATTTTCCATGCAGAGCACTAACAGCTAAGAAGTAAGAACACAAATAACTGAAAGAAAGCAAAGCAAGACCTAAAATCAGCCCTTTCCAAAATGCCAAATAATGGGCTGTGTCACAGCTAAGGGGACAGTTACAGAGAGCACTTCTGCCTGCCTGCAAAGCAGAAACACATTAACACATTTTATAAAACAATGCTCTCTTGAACTAAGAGGCTGTTGAAAGATGTGTCCAGCACACATGCACAAAAAAGCAGTGTGCACCAAGGTTGTGGATTAAACAGGTTTCTAACGCATAAATAACATAATGATCCAGTCCAGGCATCATTCACTGCTAATTCTTCTTGGTGAAGATGCCTTCCTGCTTACAATTCTGCATATTACAATACAGAGCAAAAAAATATTTTAATAAAGTATCTTCTGACTCTCAGGCTAAGTTGAAGAGCCTTGTAAGGCTATGCTTCTTCACAGCTTTAATCGATTTCAGCTATAACTTCATTTGCTATGCCTAACAGACAGTGTAAACTTCACCCTTCCCAAGAATTAATAAGAAAATAACATTTCATACTCCCCCACAAGCAGTGTATGGAAAGCACAAAACAGAACCGCTGCACACATACCCCCCAATTAAACTGGTCTCTGTGGAAACTAATAACTTTCCACAGTATGCACTGTAATCCAAGTAATAATTTTAAACAGGCATAAGCTGCAGTGTGCTGAACTAAGGCATTCTTACCTTGAGAAGGGTGCTTGAAGACATTTAGTTACAGTTAGAGAGGAGAACGTGCATGTTGCCAAAGTATTTGCCATGCACCAGGGCTATGCCTTACCCCACATCTGCACACACACACACCAAGTGGGTGCATGTGCTCCCCAGGTAGAGAAAGAGCACCAGAAAAGATAAGCAGCAGCGATAATGCCCCAGCTTTATGTCTCAAGCTAAGCTGGAGGAACCATTTGAGATGAAAAGAGAAACAATTCCAAGAAACAAGATCTTTTTTTCTCCTCTGGATGCAAAGAGCTTTGCTTGGGTGACTGTAATACCTTAACACAAAAATCTTCACAACCCACCTCCCTCCTGAGCCACGGAGTTGCACATGTCAAATGACAGCACAAAAACAATGCACAAAGACTTTAACAAAAATACTAAAGAACCCCTTACCTTTTAGTCAGAATAAGTGACAGATAACAGTCATGAGAAACTCAGTTGGCACAGCTGCTGTACGTATTTCTCTGCAGACTTCTTTTTAGTGGTCCCAAAAGCACTGAACATAAAAAACCTCCAGCCTGCCTGCTTCATTCTTCAGCAACAGAGATACATGCTGTCACGGTAACGCAAAAAAAAAAAAAAAAAAGGCGAAAGGAACTATAGATCTTAGTTTTTAAAGCCTTTGTGCTTATAGGGAAGAAAAAGAGAGAGTAGGGAAAAGAAGGAACAGAGCAAACACTTTTTCTAAGAGAAATGTGGTCTTGGCTATATAAGTAACCACAGCACAGAGACATTCAGTTTGAATTTCCCTGTTTGCAAGCTCCTTTGGAAAAATAAAAAAAAAAAAAATCGGTCTTTAGGGGAAAAAAATCAAATGCATGGTTGGGGGGAAGGGAGAGGAGGAGGGTACTGCTCCTATGTGACATACATATGGAATGAGCATTAGAACAATGCTGACAGGACAGCTAAGCAACTGCACTCTGGGGCAGCAGTTTTCAAAGCAGAGCTTTTACAGCTTTGCAGAAAGGAGAGGAAAACAATTCAAATTAAAAAAGCTCCCTCCGCAAATGGTGGTGGGGGGGGGGGGAGAGAAAAGGCAAAGAAAAAATAAAAGAAAGGAGCTGCTAATTCAAGAACAACTGCCAGACTAAAAGAAAGGAGAAAAAAAAAAAAGAAAAAAAATAGTGGGCTAATTTCTGAAAGGGGGGGGGGGGGGGGGAGAGAAAAGGCAAAGAAAAAATAAAAGAAAGGAGCTGCTAATTCAAGAACAACTACCAGACTAAAAGAAAGGAGAAAAAAAAAAAAAAGAACAAAAATAGTTGGCTAATTTCTGAAAGGGGGGCGGGTGGGAACCGCCGCGACTGCTTCCCAGCGATGCAAGCAGAAGCCTTGATGTCTAGTGCACTTACATTTTATGCTGCGCACAGTGGGTCCCCTCCTCCCTGCCTGCCTCCCTCCTCCTCTCCCTCCCTCCCTCCTTCCCTCCGCCCTCCCTGCCTAGGAAGCTCTCTCTCCCAGGGGACAAGAATTCCAGTGGACCCAATTAACACTGTACTTTGCTGGCTCCTTGGTATGATCGATATTAAATAAGAGGACTTTTAGCGGCATTGAAAAATAAAGCAGCCATATAATGTGTGGCTGATGGAGACTGCATTTTTCCTCCTACGTCTGTACTCCCCCAGTCTCGAAATGATCCAACGCAGCAGAAAAAAAAGCAATTTCAAAAGCATGTGCCAGTACCAGTGATCCAAGCTCCATCAGATATTTGTTAGGAACTTGATGGGAGCCCTCGGCTGCTCATTTCACTAGCTTCAGCAGTACTTTAATAAAGTGGATTTACAAATCAATGGAAGGAATCCAAAGGTTCACAAACAGGCTCTTTCATCAGGTCCGCTGCCTGACCGTACAGGAAGTTTGCTGAAGGGGTCTGGGACTGTTTCGCCAGCACACTTGTTTTCAATGGACTCCCAACAACACGACTTGTTTGGTTTGGTGAAAGAAAGGCAGTAAGAGGTTCAGTGCTTTAAGGGAATGCAGCCTAGTGTGTTTACTGCTTCGTTCCTGAAGCACGTGTGGCAAGGCATCCTACAAATTGCAAATTATTTTCATTTGAAGAGGGAAGTTGTTGGGAGGCAGTAACCTTCTTTGGTCCTGTTTTCCCTGATCTATCAATCACAGATTGCCATGTAAAAACAACCTACTACAGGCTCTCTCTATAGAGGAAAAGCAATTACTAGCATTAACTCTTGCAGTTGCAAATTAATACAATACAGTCCACAACTGATAGAGTCTGCCCGCAAGCCATTAATCTAAGAACAAATGGGCGGTTTGCTGAAATCCAACTGGACTGAAATTCACAGGTTAAACGGTACCCTTTCCCTTTCCATGTTTCTATTTGTATTTGTAAAACTCAGGGGAAAGGAAAGAAAGCCGTATTTATTTGCAGTGGCCAGTACAATTCCAAGCTAAGAGTATCTATCAGTGAAACTGCCTATAATTACAGGATTTCAGCACCAGTAGCTGCTTTTCCTTTTTTCTGGGGTGGCCATAATCTTCAAATTAAACCCAAAAAATAGCACTGAGAAATATCCTTGATTGAGCAGCTGAGTTGACCACTGATTTGAATCCATCTTGTTAAATTAATGTTAGATTACATTTCCATACAAATAAGATCAATTAAAAATACTCATAAAACCATGCGATCAAAGGCAGTGAAGAGTTAAATTAATTAACTCAAAAGGCCTCCAATTAAATACTGTTAAAGTTATGATTCTCCCTCTAGCTAACAGAGGGGAAAAACCCAGCAGCAGGACAAATTTCTGTTAGTGACTACAAGAGCAGATCCAAGTTGGATGCAAAGAGCTTTGCTTGGGTGACTGTAATACCTTAACACAAAAATCTTCACAACCCACACCATTTGTTACAAATTCTTTACCACGCCAAATAACATCCTTCATAGTTAGATAAACGTGGGGCATGCAGAAATCCCAAGAAGTGGTCAACTATCCCAAGAAATATCACAAATCAAAGGTTTATTTACATGGGAAGATCCAAAAGAGTGCAGCTATACTGCTTACAGACATGAAGGCATGTTTCTTGAGCTATGGTAATTCCAGACTCATATACTTCACCTCTATTTGTGGTGAAGATGCTGCACTTCACAAGTATCCTTTAGCTGACATGGGGTTTTTTGAGCAGAAAGGGTCAGGGAAGAAGGACCCCTGATTACCATGGCACTAAGCAGGACAACACTGGGTGACAATTTGAAAGAGAAGAAAATAAAAACACCTCCACTGGAAATCACAGGAATTTATGTAGAACACCATGCTTCACAGTTGTTAGTGATCCAGCACCACAGCACGGCAAACCGGATTTGAAATGTGATACAGAGATCACTGGTAATACCAACCTGATAGTCAGAGCTGGCAAAATGACATTTCTCTTTCAATTCCCTACCCTGAATTAGGGGGCAATGTAATTGGCTAAAGTGCCCCTGAAAGTGGCCTAAACCTTGTACAAAACACTTCTCTCATCAAGGGGATCAAATCACTTCTCAATTGCTTTGGGACAACATCAGAGTGAATGAACACATACATACTCTCCCCCTGGCAATCAAATTGCTTACACAAAAAAACACTTTAGTAAGGATATCATGCACTGAATTTACACTGGCTATGGAGATGCAATGGGTAGTTGCATTTTGGGAAAGGTCGATGTTTACAGCCACACAGGGGCACATAAGGGCTCTTGGAATCCATAAATGATCCATCAGTTGGTCTGTCACCTCAACACTCCCAGGCTCTCAGAATGTCTTTATTATCCTGGTTTTGGAGATGATTTGATGACTGAAAGCCCAAATTGCCTCCCCAAGGAGATACAAAATGTGTTGGAGAATAGCAGGAAACTGATTCCAGGCTTTTCAAGTCCCTTACTTGCAAAGACTTCTCTTCTTTCAAACACAATCAACTGAATTTGACATATTTTTAAAGTAAAGCTTTGTTCCTTAAAAAAATACCAACACCATTCTAGACTACTCAAGTTTGAATCACAGCACTATCCATGGTATTAGAGGAACACCTGTGCTTCTTAAAAATTCTGCATGTGTATTCACTATCAAGTTTTATTGCAAATAAAAATTCACTCTATTTTACTAGAAAATAATTTAAAGATTGTTCGACAGTAAGAATTACAGTCCCTGTTAGGTAGGACACTTCAAGCCAGTGGGGAACTCAGTGAATAGACATCTCTTCTGTGTGAAGAAAAAGGGATAGTGAACATTTCTCAAAATAAGCCAGTATGCCAGCATCAGACCAAGTTATTGGTCAATGATCTCGTAAACTAAAAAAATCTTGAATGCCACAGTGAAGGTCCCAGTCCCTGGCTGTCAACAAAACATGACCCCCTGTTGCTGGAGGCAGGGAAAGAGGGATGTGCTGCAGTCCTGACCCGGGCAAGAGGCTTCTAAAAGGAATCTGCCATGCACAGACATCCTGGTGAGCTGCTGTGCTGCCTTGTTCGTCCCAGACAGCCCCTGCACACCCCACCTGACAGGAACAGCCCCCGCAGATCAGCATCACCCCACACACAGCCACCGCTGCTGCCACCATCAGACACAGGACCCTGATAACCACACAAACAGAATCCACAGAACAGGACATATTTAGCCTAAAGTTATTGGGAAGAAGAAGCACTGTGCTCAGAATTTGCTTTATTCACTTGAAAGGCAACTCCATGTAAGCTGTAAGGAATACCTTGCAGAAGTCCAAGATGGAAAGATGCATCAAAGAAAAAGAGTTGCTACCGAAAGAGAAAGAAGTCACTATTACTACCTGATGGCAGGAACTAATGATTGCTAAGGGGGCAATACTATGTGATACAGAGGAAAAGCTATGAAAATTTTTCTCTTGTCTCCTTTGGAAACTACCCTGGGAAGTGCCACCATTTTGGACAACCAAAATGTACCCTCTTTTTTGAACAACCACAATCTATCTGGAAACCACCCCCCCACCCCCCCCCAAGCACATATGACTGAAATTGCAAGCATGGAAGATTAACTAAGTAAAGATAAATGGTGTAACAGAATTTCTAACAGCTAATCCACTTTATTACAGGCATCATCAACTCTGTTCATTATATAAACCTCTCAATTCAACTGTTCTCAAAGACTACAGCCTTTGGCGCTGTTTAAAGTTGCTTACACTTTCTTTCTAATATACTCATTTTGATTATTAAAAGGGAAATAAATTGGTAGGCTTTTCTCTCTTTCTTTGTATCCGTTTTCATAATAGTACAATAGATACTAGAAATTACAAAAGAGAAAACATTTAACACACCTCAGCTTCATAACATCAATACTCAAAAACAGAAACAAGGCTGAACACGTGGTGATGCGGTCTTTGCTCAAGAATGTGAAAAAATGTCTGCAGATATTTTAAATATTTACCAAATGAAGGGGATGTATATCAGGTTGCAGAGCTCTGGATTAAACATACTTTCAAGAGATGATGATTCATGTTAATGTACATCAGTAGGGTTGGAGGTTTGCTTTGTTCTTTTTAATTTCTAACTACATTTTAGTATCAGAATAAACAGAGAGAACACATAAAGACAGAAACTAAACCTAAACTAAAACAAAGGAAAAACAACCTTTTAAGACACTTAACATCAGAGAAGGTTAGTCAGCCAATTACAATTTACAACCAGGCAGTAAACCATGGTGAGGTTCAGCTGACTAATGCTCTGCACCATTATGCAGCAAGTACCAAAGATAAAAGGCCAATTTCCTATTTGAAAATTGGGTTTCAGTAATGTGCAGCTGCCAGTCTGTGG